CAAACCTACAGCTACAGCCGATATAATGGACCAAAACGAGAATGACTCGCCGATTGCTAGCTGGCTGTTCGGCTGCTGTCGCTGTCACCGTTAAACGTCATGCACAATGCTGCCATTCCTCCCCTTAACAGGCGAAGATTCGAAACATAATAAGATACTATCTATAAACAGTTTACAATAATTAGGAGTTAGTTCTTTGGTTCACAATCAAAACACTTATTAAGTACACAAAGCGTTTTCTTAGTGACTTTCTTTTGATGCACTGTCCCTTGTAACCCTCTCCTTACATTATTTCTTTAATTAATTGAATCATTTCTTATTTGGTAAATAAAAAATTTGACTTATGACTTACTCTTGTTCCTCGTTTTTTTAATGACCTTCCTGTAAATATTAGCATAGACCTAGATTAATCTCAATCCCTTCCATATTAGTTGTAAAAAAATCATTGCTGATAACTACGACACATCATTTTTCTGCTGGGGTAATATCTTCCCAGTGTCAAGTAATGAGTGCCTTCAACTACCGGTGTCAAATGAAAATTACATCGATTTCAGCAAGACATTCAACAAGTTCAACCACTACCTCCCCCAGCTCCTGGCAAAGCTTGAAAGCTATTGGATAATTGGTACTATGCTGAACTGGTTTGAAAGCTACTTGCCATTCGCCCAGAGTGTACTTCCCATCGATCCTCCAGGATTACCGCAGGGGGCCCACGCTTGCGTGGGTTCGTGGCCTGGGCGACCACGCGGACCCTAGCTCTCCCAGAGGGGAGGTAATTGCCCGGTGTTGGAACCGGCACTTCAGGTAGACCACAAGCTATGGACGACTGGACAAGCCAGCCTCTTTGGGTTGTACCCAAAGTGAGAGTACCCAGTGACATTCCCTCCATTCAGGGTGGTGGGGTGTTCAGCTCTGCTAGTGTTGATTAAGTTCATAGATCTTTCACCTGCCTGTAGCTTGTGGTTGTGACTGAGTCCTACCTGTTGTGTACGACTGACATTTTGTGAGGCATATCCTCGACTTTGGAAGTAGCCTCGTCCTGGGAGGTGAAATACCTAGCCCCCAGAGGGGAGGTAAATGCTCGGTGTTGGTATCGGCATTTTCAAGTAGGCCACAGACATGGACGACTGGGCATTGGGTCCCAGTGACATTCCTTTATCCAGGATGGAGGGGTGTTTAGCTCTAGGAGAGATGGAAGTGCATCATATTCTCTAACCTACCTGTGTCTGTGGTTCTTTGGGCTTCGGCCTGCTTGTTGTGTGCGACCAGCATTCAGTGGGCAAATCCTCGACTTTGGAAGTAACCTTTCCTGGAGGTGAAAACGGGCAAGTACCCGTAGCTCACGGGGACACTCAAGGGCAAATTTACTACCCTTGAGTTAACGCAGTGTGAGGGCAACGGTTTGTAGGCACTTATGCAAACCAATCCCTGTCTCTGAGCACGGACGGTATGGTTATCTTGAGTGTGGGGGGTTCTTCCCGGAACCTCAATTGAGTCAAGGGTGTCGCCACCTCTGGTGGATAGGTTCATCCGGGTGGGTCCCACTTCTATACCTGCCTCCTTTTGGAAAACCCTGATGGCCTGGCAGTGATGTTGGGTCTGACGGGCAAACGAAGTAGATCGGGTGCTGGGTCCGAGCCCGCCAGGGGTATCTGGGGATCTATCGCTCTGGTTATCTCTGGTTTCCCAGCAATGGGTAAGGCCTCGATCGGGTAGTGGTGTAAATGGGAGGTTGCTGACGGTCCCCTTCCTCCTGGCTATTGATGGCGGGTTCTGCCTGTCAGGGATTAGATAGGTCCCGAGTGTTGCTTGCACTAAATGCGTCGGGGCGCTCTACCATGGACCTCTAGGTCCCGACCTAGTGGAACCCAGGTGGAGTGACGCTTAAACAAGCAGCCGGAATCCCTGGTTAGGATTGAGGGGCAACCCTCCTTCCGAAGGGTCTGCTTCGGCAGCCGGCGAGCCTGATGACCTTAAGTCATCCGCCCATGATGTGCTAAAGGTTGATGCGTAAGCTTCGGCCTACATCATGGGGCCCGGGTAAGTCTCACGATAGGTACCGGGTATGCAGTCAGGGGGCTTCGGCTCTCATGACAAATAATGTAATGTATGTGTAATGTATGATCCTCCAGGATTTATTGCAAGCTCGGGTGTCCACCAGGGATTGATTTCATCTGGGATAAATTCTGTTCTCATCAGTCTTCACTTCATTAATGATATTAAAGGCGTAATAGACATTCATTTCTCCTTTTCGCAGACGACATCAAGTTCAAAGAGGTGAAATCACGACAAGACTTCTCACTGCTACAGAGAGCTTTAGAGAGTGTTCAGTAATGGTGCTCAACGAATGGGATGTACAGAGTGTCACTGACCACACAAGCGTCTACAGCCTGACTGATCACTTACTTATTATTGCAAAGATAAAAAACGGTATCAGCATTCTGACACATACTTTCTCCCATAAGCTTGTCAACAACATTTATCATGGGTAAGCAGTAGGAGTAAATATGATATTTTAAAGTTGAAAATCACAAAAGTTGCAATAACTTTTGAACCGTAATTGTTGCAGCAATGGGGGTTGTACTATTATTTTTATTATAAGGACCATAACATATTAATTTTGATCAAAACCAGCTTTGTCCAAAAATCCGATTTTTGTTATTTTACGGAATTTGGATTTGTACCATTTTGTTCAGAGTTTAAAGCACTATAACATACCAAATTTTTATAAAAATCGTTATTCGGGCCATCTTTTTGAAAATCTGTTTTTCCCGTTATTTTATGAGGTTTTATGGAAAATCAACATTAAAAATCAAAATATCAAAAAAATGCCTGGAGATACCGTACACATACACACACACACATATATATCACTTCGAAAACCACTTTTTCGAGGGATTCAATATGGGAAGACCAAGTGAGAGAAGAATCAAACCAGATTCCTAAAAGTTTAACATTTTTTCCCACATCTAAAAGACCAAGATCAGGTTTATCAACAGTGAATAAAATATTGTGAGTTTTAGAGTCATTCAAAAGTAACCCATTTTGTTTCGAACCAAGAGTTAGCATCATTCAGAGCATTATTCATTAACAATACACAAGACTCTATTTACATTAGAAACACTACAAAAAAAGGTTGTATCATCTGCAAAAACAACTGAGTTTACATCTATGTTTGAAGAGAGATCATTTGTACAAGGAATAAGAATGGGCCCAGTACCGAACCCTGTGGTACTCCACTTTTGATCAGAGCTACGTCAGAGGAGGGCATTATATTGAACATAATAACTCTCTGCGAGCGATTTTCTAGGTAAGATTGAAATAGGCTAAGCTCCACACCAATAATGCCATAATGCCTTAATTTTGTGAGGAGTATGTATCCCATGCGGAACGCAATCGAAAGCCTTTGATAAGGTCACATAAAGTTGTTAAAGTGTGTGAGTGGTTTTCAAAACCATCTAAAACCTTCTGTACAAGGCTCTCGACTGCATCCACAGTAGACAGCCCTCTCCGAAAACCAAACTGAAATTTGGAAAACAAAAAAATTATCTCGAAAAAATCGTTTACCTGGTGTTTCATTGCTGATTCAACGATTTTGGAAAAACAAGGCACCACAAAAATCGGCCTGTAGCTTCCTGGAGAACTAGTGTCACCTTTCTTGTAGATTGGTACTGTTTTTTGAAGATTTCAGGCACAAAGGGTAGACACCACTAGTGAAGCAATCATTTATGCACTGTGTAGGGCCACTATACAGTGGGCCACTTCCTTTACAAAATCACTATTGATACCATATATGTCTTTGGAATTTCCACTTTTCATGTTTAATATCAACTGTGTGACATCATCACAGCCCACTGGCTTCCAGCTGAAGGTGACCTCGGGTACAGCAAAATTGTTGAGCAGGTAAGTAGATGCAGGTTGATTGAGATTGACAGTTTTCTGAACCTCCGCCACAGATGAGATAAAGTATTGGTTGAATTCATCTGCAGTTATGGGTACATCGCCAGCCTTCCTGGACCTAATCCTAGCTGAATTTATTTATTTAAGGTGACCTAAGGTGATTTAAGGGCACAATCAAAACTTTAAAAAAAAATTACTTTGCATATATCCATTCACATATTTCCTTTGGTATCGGTCTATATGGAGCAACAACTCAAATCAATCTAGATAAAATATTAAAACATCAAAAAAGAGCAGGGAGAGTATAATGCTCAGACTAAATTCTGATGTCTCGGCAAAAGAGCACTTTAAAAAGCTAAACATACTAACTGTTTATGGGCAATATATTTATGATTCAATTTTAATTTTTAAAAATAAAACCTCATCCGATGTATCCAATCTATCGGTTCACCAATATGAAAAGAGAAAAAAATCTGATTTTGCAAAATAGGCACAGATTAAAGTTTTATGAAAAAAGCCGTCATTTGCTGGTAAAAGTTTTTTTAAACATATCCCCGGAGGAATTAGAAATGAAAAAGATCCAAAAAAGTTTAAAACAAAACTAAAAATTTCTTAATAAACATGGCAATTTATTCTCAAGAAGAATTTTTCCACCTCCCTCAAGAATACTAGATGATATTAAGAAGGCATCTGTATGGAGAGATGTATTTTTTAATTTAAGATTTATTTTTAATCTGTATTTTATATTTTAATAAAATTGTAATCTTAGACACTATTCAAATGCTGTATTATGTATACTTCTCAATGAATAAAGAAATTGAAAATTGAAATTGAAAAATTATTGGTAGCAGGAGCTAGATAATTATTAAAGATGTATCAAATATAAATACAGGGACAAAATTATTCTTATGAGAGGTTTAAATAAAAATTAAAAATAATAAATGCATCATATTTATATTTTTCAAAGCTTAATGAAACATTTTAAGCACTCGCCTTGGTTTTGTGTAAAAAAATGAGGTTGGATGTCGACGTCATCGGTTTCGGCTGCCGCACGTCGTCACTACAGTAATCAGTTCACTACACTACGCAACTTGTGGAAGTGGAACCGCCATTACTGTTAGTTGCCATAAACAGCATTTTCTTCAGGTCGGATCTGTTCTGTTGGTTGGAGCGGATTCGGATTTGGATGCGTGCCGTTTGGTATCAGAACAACAGAGTAGATTTTCTGGCGAGGATATTTTGAATTTAATTCAAAATTTCAAAACTTTCAATAGTTGTGTTTAGTTTGTTTTGTTTTTGCACAGTCTAACAATAGTGAAATCATGGATGATGACTCTGCTGAGTTTGATGTAATCGATGGGGTACGTCTAGTTAAATTAAAGCCTAAGCCTAAAAAGAATAAATTAGTTGCTCATGATAACACTAATATTCATATAGAGGAAATTGATGGAGTTCCAGTTGTTAGGGTAGAACAAAAGTTCCTTAAAGACAGACGGCCGATTTGGTCTGATATGGAAATCAGAGAACTAATTTCCATAATGAAAGAGAAGGAAATAATGCCTTTACTGAGTGGAAGGCAATATAGGAGGTCAGATGTTTTTAAAATAGTTGCAGATAATATGAATAAAAGAGGCTATAAAAGGACCACAGAACAAGTCAGCATTAAGTGGAAACACCTTAGATTGTGCTACTTTAGATCAAAATCTAAGTACCAAACTGATGATGAAAGAAAATTGGAATTTCCGTTTTACGAAGAAATAGATGAATTGTTTGGTGGGAGAAAGCCTGCAGACAGTTTTATATCAATTGAACAATTCAATGAACTGCTCAATAGAAGACAGATGCAAAACATAGAAATCGATGGATCTAAATTCTTTGAATCAAACAATGTTCCTGCTAATCCTGCTGGTAAGTTAAATCAATCATATTTTACATGCATATATTGTATACGCAGAGGATACGCATCCGGTAACCGGACGTGGATTAGGCGTCCGGCAGTTACTGTCATAACCTAACCTAACCAACCAAACTTGCTGATAGTGAAAAAAATCAAATGAAGGTTCAATTCTCTTCATAACATAAAATTATAAATGCCAAAAATTCTAACAAAAGATGTACAGTTAAGAAGAAATTACATTCAAAGCAGAATCTGTGACAAAAAGTTAAAGTTACCGATGGGTTTCGAACCGGGGACATCTCGCACATCAGTCGAGCACTCTATCCACTACACCACGAACACTGATGGCTAAACATCGTATCATTGTGGTAATGGCGTTCCGGGACCCCCTACCGGACGCCTAATCCACGTCTGGTTACCGGACGCCTAATCCACGTCTGGTTACTGGACGCGTATCCTCTGTGTATTGTATAACTTAACTTAGTTCAATAGGTAATTAGTTATTTGTGGTGGCCTAACTGCCTAGTGCGGAAAGTGGCACTTTGCTGGGACGGTGGCGTCATCCTGTAAGTAAATCCAGCTAAATTACTGGGATGTAACAAATTGTGGATATTTATAGGCATGCACTGTAGATGCAATAAACTTACTCCATTTTGTGGATTAATGTCCGCACTAGTGAGTAACTTGGGTACAGTTTCTTAACTGGGCTACGGTACGCTAATAGGCCTATCGATTGAAACTAAGTTACCGTATCGATTCAATTAGTAAACCTTCATGCGATGTTTTCATCAGCAAGTTTGGTTAGTTAGGTTACAGTTTAATTTTACAATAGAGATATATTTTAAAGGTATCGATTACCAACATAGCTCAGTTAAGAAGAACGCGGTAATCTTACATTTACACTTTTTTGTGATTTTTTCCGTAACCGTTAGACATACAACAATGCTTCAATATGCTAAATTCGGCCTATTTGTTTTTTGAGCTCTACAAAATGGTTTGGAAAGAAATTGCAAAATTTTATGTTTTCAGGGTGAAAAATGAGAAAACCCCATTTTTACCCTCATAAAACCCCCCGTAAACCCCTGTTCCAATAGTCCGGTTATGCTGGTTTGCGAACTCGTTAGAATAAATGTAGATTTACTGGTACACGTTTATACCAAATTTAATCAAAATCGGTTCATTTTTGCTCGAGTCATTGCACATTTTTGATACTGTAGGCCTATCGTTATTTCATTGTGTTTCACCCACTATTTAATTGTGCAAAAACAGTCTGGAAGTTGCATAAATTAATGAGTCGGTTCATTATAACCTAACCGTTACCTTCCTAATCTAACCTCACTTCAAAACTCTTAATACAGTCACGAATCCACATAAAACCCGACCTACCTTCCTCACATGCCTAAATAAGAACTGATTATTTGGTTTCAAAACGAATTGATTTGATTTCATTCCGCATTAGATCAAGTATAAACAGTTGTTTGCTCTTCTCACTCAGTCCTCACTCCTCACTCTTCACTCAGTATGGACCCGTCTAGACCACGCCATATTACCATTAGCCTACCACCTTCAGTACCGCTCAATTATCCTTAGATTCGTAATCCTAACCTTCGTTTTACGGCCACTTAGGAATCTCTCCGACAAAAACTGATTGCATTTTTGGATTCAGCGTTAAAAAACTGTACCTAAGTAGACATATAAAAATTACATCATAGCCTATCCCAATGTAAATACGGTAGGCCTACTGTAAATATTTGCCAAAAGCACTTAAAAAAAATTATGAGTAAAATTTATTTAAACTTACGGTAGGCAGAAAGTTAATGAAACAAAGAATTATTGACAACAGACAGAAACACAATAATTTTATGTTGGTAAGTTAGTCATCTAAGAAATGTGATCAATAGTTCCTTGATGTATTAATATTATGTTTGTTATTAAATTCATGACCAATTTCTCTTGTACAACATAAATTTAGCAAGGAATACGGTTGTTCATAGCCTATAGTTTATAGTTTATTTTGGTTTTTAAATAAAATACAAGTATTTAAGAACTTAAAAGCAAATTAAATTTTATCACCAATAAAATAATTTGACACAAAAGTACAAAAGGTTCTATTTAACTATATTAAATTGCTAGTCTACAATGTTCAAAATAAATTACGTAAAATTTATACACATGTCTAATTTTAATGCTTGAATAATTCATAAAAGTAAATGACAAAGCAATGCTTCTAAAAAATCAGAATTTGTATGTATATATATAAACTAGAAGTAAGTGGTTTATCGTACAGCACCAAACAGAAAAAGTAAACGAATAACAAATCTACTAATTTATGTACTCAAAATGTGCTATCTAAGACAATATAAAACAATATCAAATTACTGTACAAGAATATACAGATTTTTGTCTGCTGTGCTTTTTAGTATTTGACAGGAGAAAATATTTGTATATTGGCTAGTACAGTATATTTTTTTCTCTAGCCCAGGATCCAGGGGGGGGGGGGCAAATTCCCCCCCTGCCCCCCCCCAAATGACGCCCCTGCCTACTCTATTAACATTTCATTGAGATTCTGAAATACATTTTTTCTTATCTTTTACAAACTCTAAGCTCAACTAATTCTAGAGCAATTCGGTCCAAACTTATCTACAAACTTGTTATTCTCAATACATGTATTTTTAAACTGTTGGATCATTCTAGAGAGTTTGTTAAAATTTTGTTTTTCTACTTCTTATTGTTATATCACAGTTATTTTATTCCGTTCCCCTGTAGGCTTAAAGCATAAACTATCGTCAATTCTTACGAAGAGGCCCAAGTAGTCTTTAGTAACCTTTAGCCATGATCAAAATTGGACATCTCAATCTCACATATTTTAAAGTTGTTGTTGGTAATAAAAATGAAAGTGGGCTAGTTGAATTGAGCCATTGACAGAGTGAGTTTGTATCAAATATCTACTACACCTGTCAAATTTTTAAGCTTTTTTGTGAGGCAATGATCCAAACTAATAAGATCTCTGAGCTCCAGTTAGGATCTCGCTTAGAATTGAATCAGCAACCTCCAGGTATGAACTATAATCACTCGGCTACCCAGACAGTTTCATTAAGGACCACATAAGTATGAGTTAGGCCTACATAAGTATCAATCATCAATTATTGAGATAGGGACATATTTCATTTAGTGCATATTTTAACCCAAATATCAGCTAAGGTGATGTAGAGTAGAGTGTGATGATCTGTGTAGCTTTGTTACTGACTAAGATCAGCTATGTCATTAGTCAGGATCATTTTAAATCATAATGATTAGGAACAGCTGGGTCCAGTTTCAAACCATCTAGGCCTACTGACTTTTCTCAGGAGCGATCCGTTAACCTTTCAATTGTTAGGCGAGCACTATTTGACCACTCAGCTACCTAGTATAAAAGTAAAAAAAATATGAGAAAAAAAAACACATGTACACCACAGTATAATTTTTAAATTTATTAGTCTACTCTGTTAGAGGCTCCTTCTACTCTGTATTCTATTTGAATACAATAAATTTGAATATTGATTGGCTGCAGTTGGTCGTTAGAGATGGGGTGTCTGTCTACCCTAGTATCTAAATTCAATTTCATTTTTATGGTATAGCCTCTGGATTACTGATTTTTACAATAAAAGGTTTAAATTACCTGTATCCGTCAAGTGATCCTGGTTTGTAGTTGGTTGACTACAGCTGTTTCATGTTAATATTAACACATCTTCAGGTCAAATTGTTGCATTGATTTATTCCATAGAATGGTCATCATAAGGTTTAAAGTTCTTTTTAAGATTTAATGTTCTTACTATGTTGTTTTTCAGTCAAAGTACCCACTCGAGAGGAAATTGAGCAAGCGCGAGAGTCTTCCATTACGAGTGCGTTGGAGAGTTTCACTCGCAATTGGCAGACCATGGTCCTACGTGTTGCGGAGCAGGAGGCGGAGCAAAACAAGATTGAGAAAGAAAAGGAGTTGCTGGAACAGCGAGAATGGGAAGAGAAATTGATCGAGAAACAGTGTGCAGCCATGACACGGACTAACCAAGAATTCCTAGTGGGTCTAAAAGACATTTTTCAAGGTCTTATAAAACAGTAGATAGTTAAGCAAGATTTGTGGACTCCAGTAGTGAGGTGGAGTGAATTCACACTGTTTAAAAGTGTACAGTACAGTAATAATTTCCAAGAACTACGTTCGTTTTGTAAACTATAGTTTTAAACTTATTAAAATTGTAAATAACTATTCAATGTATCAAGTTTATTTTTTCCTATACAAATTCTGCATCACAGTGCATTAGACTTTATTCACAGGTTTTTTTTTCCGCAAAGTATTTTAATTTAGCAATTAGGGATCGAAGTAGACTTTCTATAACCGAGGATCAATTAGTTTTTACTTTCCAGTTTATCTCAGGAGGGTTGAGGCCTAGAATGTGTTTCCTCATTGCTTGTACCTATTGATTGCTTCCTACATAGTGTGTCAACTCCTTTTACTTGCAAACTTTTCTGCCATCCTTCACGTCGTAATATTGCCAGCAAAGCCTTTGAAGAGTGGACAAGTATCACTTTATATTATACTTAAAAAAAGTTTTACAATGAAGAAAGAAACTGTATTAATCTAATAACTTTTAATCTGTTAACACATTTTTTTTCTGCACCGTTCAACATTTTGGCTAATTCCAGATTGTCACAGCTGGTTTAGGTTAAACAATTGAGCCTTTACTGTATATACTGTATTTGTATAAGTAATCATTCTCACTAGATAACCTGTTGCTCAAAATCGAGCAAAACTGAAACTTGTCTAAAAAAAATAAACATAAAACATAAACAGCAAGACAATCAAAGAGTCACTCTAAAATAATTTATATGACTGATTAGTGATTATAGAAATATAAAAATATTATGATGTAAAAAAATCAGGGCTGTGCGAATCCAGAAGTTTTGGTTCGAATCCGAATCCGAATCATAGCTGTACAGATTTTATCGAATCCGGATCGAATCCGAATATTTTAATTAATCCCGAGTCGAATCTGGGTCGAATCTGAATCTCAAATTTACAGCCATTATCGAATCCGGATCGAATCCGAATCTGAAATTTAAAGCTGTTATCGAATCCGAATATTTAAACCTGTTCAGAGTCAAATCCGAATCCGAGGAAAGTCAGCAGTACCAATTTTCACATTTTTAGACCACATTTTCTGGGGCTGAAATAACTTAGGGAATTGCTTTAAAAAATTCTTGAAATGGGCCAAATAAAAAGTTATAAAATTTAGGCCTACCTATTTGAAGTTTTGAAACTAAAAAATTGGGCATTAGTTAGGCCTACCACCTAGGCCTAAGTTACTCGCTAAAAGTGATGGACTACCAATTTGTGTAGTCTAAAACATAGGCCCAGTCTATTATACACCTCGGTGTTAATCCTCCAAACAAGCCTATGTCTGCATTACTATTACAAGTAACAACTAACACTGTGAGGTTAAGTTTACTGATAGCCAAGATAGGGTTCAAATGCGACCTACACTAATGTGCCTAAAGCCTAACACTAAGTTGGTCAGCTTCCTAATATGAACCAGTCAACAGCAAATCGGAGTGCACAAGTAGTTTTTTAGTGTCTAAAAAATTATATTGAAAATTATATTCAATCAGAATCTAGTAAATTTGAATATCGAATCCCAACTCGGATCTATTTCCAAGAAATTCGAATATCGAATCCGAACCCGGATCTCTTACCAGTAAATTCGAATATCGATTCCGAATCCGAATCCAGTTAGAAACAGTAGATTCCTTCTCGAATCCGAATCGAATCTCTAAAAAGATTCGGATTCGATTCGTTTTTCGAACTATTCGCACAGCCCTGAAAAAAATATAAAAGCAATCTACAACATTTAAATTTACATTCACGCTGCTTGTAGATGTCAACCACACACTGTAAAGTAAGCTTTTGACCTAATGTAGCTCAATTCCTCTCTTGACGCCAACCATCGCTACTCTTATTCTAGCATTGTTAAATTATTTCTTTGATGTGTTCTGTTTTAGGCGTATTTAAATTAGGGGCCCCAACCCAAGTCTCCGGTTGGGAACACAAGAGGGTAAGCAAGTGGATCTAACAACAGATCTATAATGGATACGCGTTTAACATTATTAGTGTTGGAAAAAACTATACGATTTATTTGGCCAGGTGTTGCTTTGTTTTCAGCTTTGAAAATTGCTGCGAAATCTACACAGGTAGCACCATTGTAGCGAGGGAAAACAGTTCTTCTGTCTATTATTATATACATAAGAATCTCACTTGACTCCTCTGAGCTCTCGTCCCTACATCCGCCATGTGTACATACACACATGTGTGTATCGTCCGCATATTTTTTCATTGTATTTTTTAATTTTTATTGTGCTTAGTTCTCCTTTGGGTTCTAGTGACATTGTTGTACTTACTTATATATCTGTGTGCGTATTCAGGATCATCACCTTGAGGAATTAGAGGACCCACGTGGTGGTAGTGCATCCACGTGTGGTGGAGGTGGTAAAATGTGTCACGGATCTTAAAATTGTAGATCCCCTGTGGAACTTTCTAATCTTAATGTGCTTTAGAGCTGACCATGGTAAAGGCAGAACTGAATTGACGAACTTTATCCAAATAATTTCTGGATATAAGTCTCACAACCCTATTTTCAGATTGGGAGTTTCCAATAAGAACCCGAAGTTTATTGAGGTGAATTGCACAAATGAGGTAAACAAACAAACCTTTCACTTATGGCAACAAAGAGTACAAACTTAACTGTCTCAGCCAGTCTTTTCTTGCTTAAAAATATGTAAGCTACTACAATGTAAACATTTAACGTTCATTTGTCCGAGATTGGACTATCACAACGGTGGTACTACCACTATGTACCCATCAAATGTTCAATTGAGAGGTTAGCCACTAACAGTTCTTCGTCGTACTGGCGGCATTTGATTTTAAATTGAAATGAAATAAGAAAGTTAACCAAGCAACAGAAAACACTATAAAGGAATTGGAATTTTGATACACATTGTAAATTACATGATAATATGGTAATGTAATGGATAACTGCCCTGTGAATAATCACTTTTAAACATTCACTTATCACATCAAACTGTAACTACATGATAAAAATAATTTATAAATAAAAAAACCTTTTTAAAACAAAACGTTTTTAAACGCACTAAAAAGTAGAAAATAATTTATAAATAAGTGGAGAGTATAAATACTTGTAAGATTTAAAACGAATAACGTGGGGCGCATGCAATAGATAATTTACAATTATCTTCTGAACTAATGTATTATTATCAATTGCATGCACCCCACGTTTTTTGTTTTAAATCTTAAAAGTATTTATACTCTCCACTTATTTATAAATTATTTTCTACTTTTTAGTGCGTTTAAAACGTTTTGTTTTAAAAAGGTTTTTTATTTATAAATTATTTTATACTTTTTAGTTTTTAATGTGTTGGTGGATGTTAAATCTATTTCAAACATCTAAAAAACAGAGGCATGAGGGAAATCTAAGGTTTATTTGAGTTTCTTTTCATATAATTATGTATTAGATTGAATGTATGGCCTACCTACTAACTATAAATATATCAATCTATTTAATTTAATTTATTGTTTACTTTATAGAATAATAAATAAATAAAAATTGACATTATTAACAAACACCTTTATATCTGCAACCAGATTGTTTACCTTTATTTTGAAATGTTTGTATAAAGAATCTCTTGGGAGGCTGAATTTTTATTTCAGGATTAGTGTTGCCTACAGTATTATTTTGAGGCTTCTGATTGGCTGAGGGAACATCATTACCGCAACGATACGATTGATGCCAACGGCCTCGGTGGTGTAGTGGATAGAGAGAGTGCTGAGCTGATGATCCGAAGAACCCGGGTTCGAATCCCACCGCATCCCACCCGTAGCACTATTTTTTTGTATTGGATTTTTTTCATTATCAACAAGTTTGGTTGGTTTGGTTAGGTTATGACGGTTTAATTTTATAATTAAAACATTATGAAATTGAATTTAACCCATTTATAGTTTTACTTTATGAACAGAAATATTTTTTTCGGTTCATTTGATTTTTCATTGTTAGCAAGTCTGGTTAGTTTGGTTAGGTTATGATAGTTTAATTTTATAATAAAAAAATTATAAAATAGGATTTCAGGCATTTATAATTTTATTTTAGGAACAGAACTATTTTTTCGATTAATAAACCTTCATTCGATTTTTTCATTGTCAGCACGTTTGGTTGGTTTGGTTAGGTTATGGTGGTTTAATTTTATAATAAAAAAATATAAAATTGAATTTGAGGCATTTATAATTTTATTCTATGAACAAAAATAATTTTTCAATTACTAAACCTTCGTTATAGTCAATCAGAAGCCTCTAAATGACACTGTTGGCAAAATTAATCCTGAAAAACAAATTGTGCTCTTGGGAGCATAACCTGTACCTCTTAACCTCTGCTCTTCGAACTGTCAAATTTAAGTACTTACAGCTGACTTAAATTAATTGATATATTTACATTCTTTCAAAATGTAAACATGGAAAACTTGGAAGCCCATGGGGTGTATGATTGGCCCAAGGGAAATATGAAAAATGAATTATATAATATTGCATTGTCATCCATTTGTGAGCTATTTTTCAAATTTCAAGTCTCTAGCTCATCGGGAACTTCGTTTAAAATTGATATCAAAATTTGTAGGAAAGCGGAAAGCGACCTAATAAAAACAAGCCCATGGGGCGTAGCCCAAGGGAAATATGAAAATTAAACTATATAATATTGCATTGTCATCCATTTGTGAGCTATGTTTCAAGTTTCAAGCCTCTAGCTCATCGGGAAGTTAGTATAAAATTGATTGCAAAATTTGTACCGGACAAGAAAGCAAGCTAATAAAAACGTTTTAAAATACGATGTAAGGTAAATCAATTTAACCATAGACAAAAAGAATTAAATATTTATTCTTAAACACTTAGTTGTCTAGTATTGATAGGAAACTCTTCATTATGAACCAGACATAGTTAACAGATTGTAACAAAATATAAATTCCTGCAGTCTGTGGTTAACCTTAAAACCTATTTCAAACTACTCCATATGTTATTTGTAAACAAAGGGAAATGAGTTTGATCAAATGTCAACAGATAGAGCCACCTTCCAAACTTAAGCCCTTAAGTGTACTTAAGTGGTGCCCTTTCTAAATATTCTGAGACGTATTTGCACATCTACGCAAAAATACCTTTA